GTGTGTGTGTGTGTCATGAGTGTGTATGTGTCATGTGTGTCATGAGTGTGTGTGTGTCATGAGTGTGTGTCATGAGTGTGTGTCATGTGTGTCATGTGTGTGTGTGTGTGTGTGTGTGTGTGTCATGTGTGTGTGTGTGTGTGTGCGCCATGTGTGTGTGTCACGTGTGTGTGTAATGTGTGTGTGTCATGTGTGTGTGTGTCATGTGTGTGTGTTTGTGTCATGTGAGTGTCATGTGTGTGTGAGTGTCATGTGTGTGTGTGTGTCATGTGTGTGTGTGTGTGTGTGTGTGTGTGTGTGTGTGTCATGTGTGTGTGTGTCATGTGTGTGTGTGTGTCATGTGTGTGTGTGTGTGTCATGTGTGTGTGTGTGTGTCATGTGTGTGTGTGTCATGTGGGTGTCATGTGTGTATGTCATGTGTGTGTGAGTGTCATGTGTGTGTGTGTGTCATGTGAGTGTGTGTCATGTGTGTGTGTGTGTGTGTGTGTCATGTGTGTGTGTCATGTGTGTGTGTCATGTGTGTGTGTCATGTGTGTGTGTGTCATGTGTGTGTGTGTGTCATGTGTGTGTGTCATGTGTGTGTGTGTGTGTGTGTGTCATGTGTGTGTGTGTCATGTGTGTGTCTCATGTGTGCGTGTCATGTGAGTGTGTGTGTCATGTGTGTTTGTGTGTGTGTGTGTGTGTGTGTGTGAGTGTCTGTCGTGTGTGTGTGTGTGTGTGTGTGTGTGTGTGTGTGTGTGTGAGTGTCTGTCGTGTGTGTGTCTGTCATGTGTGTCATGTGTGTGTGTTTGAGTGTCTGTCGTGTGTGTGTCACGTGTGTGTGTGGCTCATGTGTGTCACGAGTGTCATGTGTGTCATGTGTGCCATGTGTGTCATTGTGTGTGTCATGTGTGTGTGTCATGTGTGTGTGTGTGTGTGTGTGTCATGAGTGTGTGTGTGTCATGTGTGTGTGTGTGTGTGTCATGTGTGTCATGAGTGTGTGTGTGTCATGAGTTTGTGTCATGAGTGTGTGTCATGTGTGTCATGTGTGTGTGTGTGTGTGTGTGTGTGTGTGTGTGTGTGTGTGTGTGCCATGTGTGTGTGTGTCACGTGTGTGTGTGTGTCACGTGTGTGTGTGTTAGAAGTAATTAGTAGCGAAACATTTTTAATGCTTGGCGAGCATTGAGATGCCTACGGCGAGTCCATCCCCTCTGCCCCGCATCGCTCGACCGCCTGCTCAAGCTATATAAACCGGGCGATGTAGCGCGCGATCCTAGGATACTTTTTACCGCGGGAAAATATCTTATTTCTGAGGAAAAATACAAAAACTGCAATGTAAGAGTATACTAATATGTAACACCTAAGAATTTAGTTTTTGGTCATCTGAACGCGGGCGGAGCCGCGGGCAATGCTAGTAATATCTAATAACTCATTGGAATATTTTTCGCCAAACCTAACCCAAACCAAAAAAAAAACAATATATATATAATCGATCGTCGTTGTGTAAATTGATATACATGAAGTAATAATATCTAATAACTCATTGGAATATTTTTCGCCAAACCTAACCCAAACCAAAAAAAAAAACAATATATATATAATCGATCGTCGTTGTGTAAATTGATATACATGAAGTTATAATATCTAATAACTCATTGGAATATTTTTCACCAAACCTAACCCAAACAAAAAAAAAACAATATATATATAATCGATCGTCGTTGTGTAAATTGATATACATGAAGTAATAATATCTAATAACTCATTGGAATATTTTTCGCCAAACCTAACCCAAACCAAAAAAAACAATATATATATAATCGATCGTCGTTGTGTAAATTGATATACATGAAGTAATAATATCTAATAACTCATTGGAATATTTTTCGCCAAACCTAACCCAAACCAAAAAAAAATAAACAATATATATATAATCGATCGTCGTTGTGTAAATTGATATACATGAAAGAATAATATCTAATAACTCATTGGAATATTTTTCGCTAAACCTAACCCAAACCAAAAAAAAAAAGACAATATATATATAATCGATCGTCGTTGTGTAAATTGATGTACATGAAGTAATAATATCTAATAACTCATTGGATTATTTTTCGGCAAACCTAACCCAAACCAAAAAAAAAAAACAATATATATATAATCGATCGTCGTTGTGTAAATTGATATACATGAAGTAATAATATCTAATAACTCATTGGAATATTTTTCGCCAAACCTAACCCAAACCAAAAAAAAAACAATATATATATATAATCGATTGTCGTTGTGTAAATTGATATATATGTAGTAATAATATCTAATATCTCATTGGAATATTTTTCGCCAAACCTAACCCAAACCAAAAAAAAAACAATATATATATAATCGATCGTCGTTGTGTAAATTGATATACATGAAGTAATAATATCTAATAACTCATTGGAATATTTTTCGCCAAACCTATCCCAAACCAAAAAAAAAAAAACAATATATATATAATCGATCGTCGTTGTGTAAACTGATATACATGAAGTAATAATATCTAATAACTCATTGGAATATTTTTCGCCAAACCTAACCCAAACCAAAAAAAAAACAATATATATATAATCGATCGTCGTTGTGTAAATTGATATACATGAAGTAATAATATCTAATAACTCGTTGGAATATTTTTCGCCAAACCTAACGCAAACCAAAAAAAAACAATATATATATATAATTGATCTTCGTTGTGTAAATTGATATACATGAAGTAATAATATCTAATAACTCATTGGAATATTTTTCGCCAAACCTAACCCAAACCAAAAAAAAAAACAATATATATATAATCGATCGTCGTTGTGTAAATTGATATACATGAAGTAATAATATCTAATAACTCATTGGAATATTTTTCGCCAAACCTATCCCAAACCAAAAAAAAAAAAACAATATATATATATATATAATCGATCGTCGTTGTGTAAACTGATATACATGAAGTAATAATATCTAATAACTCATTGGAATATTTTTCGCCAAACCTAACCCAAACCAAAAAAAAACAATATATATATAATCGATCGTCGTTGTGTAAATTGATATACATGAAGTAATAATATCTAATAACTCGTTGGAATATTTTTCGCCAAACCTAACGCAAACCAAAAAAAAAACAATATATATATATATATATATATATATATATATATAATTGATCTTCGTTGTGTAAATTGATATACATGAAGTAATAATATCTAATAACTCATTGGAATATTTTTCGCCAAACCTAACCCAAACCAAAAAAAAAAACAATATATATATATAATCGATCGTCGTTGTGTAAATTGATATACATGAAGTAATAATATCTAATAACTCATTGGAATATTTTTCGCCAAACCTAACCCAAACCAAAAAATAAAACAATATATATATAATCGATCGTCGTTGTGTAAATTGATATACATGAAGTAATAATATCTAATAACTCATTGGAATATTTTTCGCCAAACCTTTTTTTTTTTTTTATAGTTGGGAAATCCTATTACGGATACCACCCGACTTCCCCCGGGGTGGTTATGTGGAGACTCTCCGGCTAATGAGACCGGCATACCCACTAAAACCCAACTTTCCCCCTCTGCCGCCATGTGGGACGCCACGGGATCGCTCTCGCATACAACCACGAAGTGGCCGAAGCCACCAACCATGAGGCCGCCCCAAGCGGGACAACCCCACTATGGGAAGACTTGCAACCCAAGAAGTGAAGCCGCTCCTAAGTCCACTCTGCTGATCAGAGAAGTACCCGGAGCAGCCCCACACCACACAAACACCGCCCACCGAAGTGGGCAACCTGCTAAAATAATTCCCTACCCAAATTGGGCAAAACCCCCTCCCAAAGACGCCCGAAAACGAGCCCAACCACAAACAGCTGCAGGAGAAGAGGATGCGACAACGCCGACACTCCCCTTCCCCTGCAGCCCCACCGCGTCCACCATCAACGGTGGTGGCCCCGCTAGGCCGCGGGAGATAGGGACGAGCGGCGCATCGCCATACCGACACTCCTCTTCCCCCGCGGACCCCTACCGTTGGCCCACCTCCGGACCAAAATGGCTGCCGACATCCTTCGCCAGACGCAGGACCACCGAACTGGCCCCGCTCCAGCCACCGCAATGACGGGCTAGCCCCGGCAGTGTGGCCCGCGCAGCGCCTCCTACCGCGAAACGGCCGGAGACACCGCGCTACCTCCAAGAAGGAGACGGCGCCCTCCTAACGCCGCTCCCGCAACCCTCCCTCCTGGCTGTTGGTCCGCGTCGGATTGCTCCGGTACCACAAGCTCCTGTCGGGTCCAAACAGGTGCGAGTGGTGTTCCCCTATCCGCCACCCGGGGACGCGTCCGGTAGCAGTAAGCCTCTGCCCCGGATTTTTTTTCGCCAAACCTAACCCAAACAGAAAAAATATATATATATATATATATATATATATATATATATATAATCGATCGTCGTTGTCTAAATTGATATACATGAAGTAATAATATCTAATAACTCATTGGAATATTTTTCGCCAAACCTAACTCAAACCAAAAAAAAAACATTATATATATAATCGATCGTCGTTGTGTAAATTGATATACATGAAGTAATAATATCTAATAATCACATTGTGTGCGCGCCCCGGCGCAGTGTACACGTAAATCATATGTGCTAATCAAAAATTGTTGAAAAGTATTTAAAAGTGACTATTAAAGTGAACTTCTACTCTAAATTGAACTATATATAATTAAAATTTAACTACATGGCGTTAAAAAATAACATATAAGTGTTTTTAGTGTAAAGAAACAATAACAAAATTTCGAGGAACTTAAAAACCTACTTAAGTGCAGTGTTCTGATAGATACGCGTAAGCGACACGATATACACGGCGCTTACGACGTTTTGGACGCGGCGTTAGTGTATAGTAAGATAACGCTTTTGCTTTAAACAAAGTATTTTGTTATATACCTGCCGCTGCCGCTTCTTTCTTTATTTATTAAAATGGATTGTAAATATTGCTCAGAGGTTTTAAAGGGAGATGAGTGCATTAAATGTGTTTCATGTAATAGAACATCTCACTTCCAATGCGTGGGATTATCTGAGGCAGACTTCAAAAGAATGTTACCTATGAATAGAGCCAAATGGAAGTGTCCTATTTGTAAAACCTCTAATAAAAGTAGCAATAGTCCGCAAGTTTTTTCCACTGACGCAAAATCTTTATTATTACTCTTCGATGAACGATTTAACAATCTTAACACGACGATTGAATCCTTTAAAACATTTATTACTGAAGAATTTAGAAAAGTAACTGAGACAGTTAAACAGTGGTCTGAGAAAATTACTAACATGGAATCATCTATTAATTCTATTATTCAAAGAATGAATGATTTTGACTTAGAAATATCTAAAATTGCACATTTAGAATCAGAATTGAAAGAGTTACAGATGTCATTTAATGAAATAAAGGAAAATAATAGTAAAAGTGAGCAGTGGGTTCGTCGTTCAAATATACAGATTAACGGTGTCCCCCAAAAAAAAGGTGAAAATCTCATACAATTAATAAAAATATTAGCCGAAAAAGCTAACTTCCCCTTATCACCGGATACTGACATAGATTTTATAACTAGAATTGCCACCAAAAACGATTCGAGTGACAGTAGACCTAAACCAATTATATTAAAATTGCAGGCCCGTTATAAAAAAGATGATTTTTTAACATCTCTTCGCAAATTAAAAAACTTAAAGGCTTGTGATATGGGGTTTTTGGGAATGCAGAATAGAATATATTTCAACGATCATCTTTCCACCAAAAACAAAGCACTCTTTAATGAGGCCAAACGCTTAGCCAAACAAAAGGGCTATAGCTATTGCTGGGTTCGTAACTGCACAATAATGGTTCGACGCACAGATAACTCGCCGGTTCTTCATATTACCTCAAAGGACTGTTTAAAAAAAATCTCATAAGTGTTAAATTGCTTTCTTATTTCTTTTACATTAAATTTTACTGTAAACGATTATATTATGCGTGTAAACGTAATTTGTATTATACATTGTGTTATAAACGTAATTTTACATTGCGCTTATTGTCAAAACTTAAGATAAATAATTCTTTACTCATTGAACTCATTGTTGAATTAATTATTAACAGATATATCATACTTAAAATTATAATAATTTGTCGTTTATTGTCTGATCAAAGTGTGATATTGTTTATTGCTTTATGTCGGGAGCCCTTGTCACAATTACAAAAAAGAATAATGAAGTGCCACACATTTTTCTTAAGCGTCATAGTGATTACCCTTATTAATATAAATTTTACATTATGCTTATTATCAAAACTTAAGATAAATAATTCTTTACTCATTGAACTCATTGTTCAATTAATTATTAATAGATATATCATACTTAAAATTATAATAATTTGTCGTTTATTGTCTGATCAAAGTGCGATATTGTTTATTGCTTTATTTCGGGAGCCCTTGTCACAATTACAAAAAATAATAATGAAGTGCCACACAGTTTTCTTAAGCGTCATAGTGATTACCCTTATTAATATAAATTTTACATTATGCTTATTATCAAAACTTAAGATAAATAATTCTTTACTCATTGAACTCATTGTTCAATTAATTATTAATAAATATATCATACTTAAAATTATAATAATTTGTCGTTTATTGTCTGATCAAAGTGCGATATTGTTTATTGCTTTATTTCGGGAGCCCTTGTCAGAATTACAAAAAATAATAAATAAGTGCCACACATTTTTCTTAAGCGTTATAGTAATTACACTTATTAATATAAATAATAAATATTTACAAATAAATTTATCATTAACATGTTACTAAGTATTTTTTATCAAAATGTTCGTGGTTTACGGACTAAAACAAGGGAATTTTATTCTAATCTTTTGAATAATAACTACGATATTATATGCTTAACAGAGACATGGCTTTTACCTGGCATTTTTAATGAGGAATTGTTTGATACTAGGTATGATGTTTATCGCACGGACCGTGACTATCAGCGCTTTAACTTGAGTATGGGAGATGGTACTCTCATAGCGGTACGTCGTGAAATTAATATAGACTTGCGTAATATTCCTCAAATTCCCGATATTAATGATGCAAACATTACTATCCTGAATATAAATCTGAGAACGGGTGCTGTGCAAAAATCTCTCATCGTTGTATGCTGTTATTTTCCTCAAAATTGTAATCAATCAGATTCCCAATTAAAACTGTTCGAATACGTCTCGGATTTACGCTTAGACTTTCCTCTTTATAATATTATTGTAATGGGTGATTTTAATATAAAAGATGCCACATGGTCACTACAAAACAGCGACAGTGGCTTTAAATTAGAAAATATATCTGAGAACATTCTCACTTACCAATTATCTACGTTTATGAGCTTTACCGATCTACAACAATATAACTGTGTGCTTAACAATAATAATAGATTATTAGACCTTGTTCTATCTGACTTAAAGTGCTTAGTATCTCGAACGTTACCTTTATCGGAGCCAGAAGATGGGCATCATCCCCCACTACTTGTAGAGGTAGATATTCATTCAATAGAAAGAAACCTTAGTCTTAATCATCGTATAGTCCGCAAGTATCAAAATGCAGATTATAGCATTATTAACACAGAATTATCAAAAATTAACTGGAAACTAGAACTAAATGACAAATATATTACTGAAGCAGTTGATGCTTTCTATAGTATCATAAACGATTTAATTGAAAAATATGTTCCATCGAAACTGACAGTAGAAAGTAAATATCCCATTTGGTATTCACGTCACTTAATTAGTCTTATTAATAAAAAATTAAAATGGCATAAAAAATGGAAGATATATGGAAGGTTAAGTGATTATTATTATTATTATTAATGTTGGGTGTGGTGCCGAGGTCGGCCCTAGCTACGTCGACCAGTTTTGGTCCATTGTAGCTCCCTTTATAGTGAGTTCAAAGTTCTCCGCTTAGTCCTGTTGACTCCAGGAACTTCCAGATTTTCTGAGCGGGGAGCATCTGTATCTCTTCCGGTTGCATAATATGCTGCCCTAGATAGATACTTCTGCGGTGCATGAGTGGACCGCACGAGCAGAGGATATGCATAGCAGTTTCCTCTGTCTCATGGCATAGTCTGCACATTGCGGTCTGACTGAGGCCGAGGGTAAACATATGTTTATTGAGTTTGCAGTGACCAGTAAGTATTCTGGTTACTGCACTGGTTTTATACTTGTTGAGTTGAAGCAACTCTTTTGTAAACTTTTTGCGATATCCCTTAATTAGCGCTTTAGAGTGTATTTGTCCAGAAGTGGATTGCCACTCTTGAAGTGCTTGGCGATTGCAGTGAATTTTGAGAATTGAATAGGCATGTTGTTTTGCAATGCCACAGAATGGTTCTGGGCCACAATCTGGGGTTTCAGCGCCCCTTCTTGCCAATGCATCAGCCTTTTCATTCCCATCTATGCCTGAGTGACCCGGGACCCATCTGAGGGTAACTCTGTTGGATGTGCCCAGGACATTCAGATTATCCATACAGTCTTTGACCAACTTAGAGTTGGTCTCAAGAGAATCTATAGCCAGAAGTGCTGCTTGGCTATCTGAGTTGATGTAGATATTTTGGTTTCTAAGCTTCCTCTCCAGGATGACTTCAGCACATTTGTTGATGGCGAAGACCTCGGCTTGGAAGATGGTGGCCTCCTTGCCCAGATTGACACTCATGTCAAATCTAGGCTTAAGGCCATAGATGCCGCACCCTACATCAGATCCTTTCTTGGATCCATCTGTAAACCAAACATGACTGCCCTTTTTGTGAGACTCTTGGTTTTTTAGCCACATGTCCCGGTTGGGAAGATCTATTTGGTACTGTTTTGCGAAGTTAAACTCTGTACTCATGCCATCGACTGGCATTTTCAGAGTTTTGTGTTCGAATGTCAACTCCTTGAGTTTGTTCATATATTGCGATTGCAACTTTACATTCGATTGTGTACAGAGCCTGTAGAGGCAAGATTTAGCTTCTTTTTGCACGTGGAGATATAGCGGAGCTATGTCCAACAATGCATTTAAAGCGTCGCCTGGTGCCGAGTGGAAGGCTCCCGTGATGATTAGACATGCCATCCGTTGTATGCTGTCTAGTTTACTCATAGTTGTCTTTTGTTTGGTTTTGTTACACCATACGACTGAGGCGTATGTTATGATCGGCCTTACCACGGCGGTGTACATCCAGAGAGCCATTTTGGGCTTGAGGCCCCACTTGGCTCCAGCCATTCGACAACATATCCAGAGGGCCATTTTGGCTTTTTGTATAATGTTGTTGAGGTGAGAGTTCCAGGTCAACTTTGATCAATAGTGACTCCAAGGTACTTTACCTCATTTGATAGGTTAAGGGTTTTGCCATTGAGTCTGAGTTCGGTCAGCCTTTCAAGCTTCCTTTTCCTGGTAAATGGTACAATAACTGTTTTATCAGCGTTTATTGATAACTCATTTTCTCTGCACCATCTTGTGATGGTATTGAGAGCTCCTTGTAACCTGGTGGAAATTGTGTTCAGGCAGGGACCTCTTACTACTACAACAAGGTCATCTGCATAGCCCTGTGTATCGTAGTCGAGATCTGCCATGATTACAAGTAGTAGGTCTACAGCTAGTGTCCATAATAGGGGTGAAAGCACTCCTCCTTGCGGACAGCCTCTTGTAGTGTAGAAGTTGTGCGAGTGTTCGTTTAACGTAACTTTCGCACACCGGTTGGAGAGCATATATTCCACCCATCTGGTGGTTGTGATATCAACACCTTTTGCATTTAATCCTTTCAGGATGGTTGCCGTAGGTGTGTTATCAAAGGCCCCCTCAATGTCCAAAAATGCACATAGAGCTGTCTGCTTATCCTCTAGGGACCTTTCTGCCTTGTCGATCAGAGCTACTAAGGCAGATTCTGTGGATTTACCCTTTTGGTAAGCATGTTTGGTTGCAGGAAAGTGGTCTAGCCACAAGATACCTTGTTCTAATGTGCTGATCGATTACTTTTTCCATTGTTTTTAATAGGAAAGAAGTAAGACTAATAGGTCTAAAGGATTTGGGCTGAGAGTAGTCGTTTTTACCGATCTTCGGTATAAAGATAACCTTGACCTTAGTCCATTGTTCTGGTATAGTGCCCAAAGCAAAGCTTGCTCTAAATAATTTTACCAGATGCGGGATAAGGAGTTCCATGCCCTGTTGAAGCAGAGCTGGAAAAATTCCGTCTTCCCCTGCTGATTTAAATGGTTTGAATTTTTTCAAAGCCCATCTAATCTGGTTAGGCCTAAAAATGGTATTGGCCATCTTCCAGTCGCAACTATTTGCCCTGTGGATGTAGTTTTCCTTTGGGTTTGATTCACTGCCGGTGACAGGGTACGATCCTGGGAAATGGGTCGCTCTTAAAAGTTCCAGCGTCTCCATCTCTGTGGTCGTGAAGGAATTGTCTCGCTTTTTTAAAAAGCCGAGAAAGATGTTTGGTGTCTTGGCAAGGACCTTGTGGATTCTCGCTCCTTTATGTGTTTGGGCGATATTCTCACAGAATCGTTTCCAAGATGCTCTTTTAGCTTTTCTGATCTCTTTGTGGTATTTAGTCAGAGCCTTCTTATACCGTTCCCACCCATACGGTGTAGTGGCCTGATTAAATAAGCGACGTGTGGAAACTCTAAGTCGTTCTAGCTTTTTGTTCCACCACGGAGTATTGTTGTTAACCTTAAGTTCCCTGACAGGACAGCTATTTTCATAGGCATTTAAGATGCCATCCGTTAATAAGTTGTTTTTAAAATGTTAAGGGAGTCGGGTGTCTTGATTGATTTTGGAAAATCCTTAGCTGCCTCAGCGAGCAGGTTTTTAAAATCTACCCACGAGGTGGCTTTGGGATTTCTAAGCCTTTTAGGCTCAGTAGTTATTGAGCCTTGTATGCTAAAGACAATATGTTTGTGATCGGACAAAGAGTTTTCATTACTGACATGCCATTTACTTATGTGTTTAGCGATTTGTTCAGTAGCAAAAGTGATATCCAGAACTTCCTGCCTAGCTCTAGTAGCGAAGGTTGGATTACAGCCTTTATTAAGTATTTGAAGGTCGTTAGCTAGGAGAAATTCTAAAAGTAACTCACCTCTTTTGTTGGTATCAGTACTTCCCCAGATTGTGTGATGGGCGTTTGCATCGCAGCCAACAATTAGTTCTGTCTTGTGTTTTCGAGCGTAGTCGACGACTTTAGACAGTTCTTCGGTGGGGTTGGCTTTCTCTCCGGGCAGGTAGGCCGAGCACACAAGTGCTCTAGTTTGACCACGCCCTCTGAGAACGGTGATTGCAGCAACGGTGTCATCAC